AATATCGATGATAGCATCTTTTCTGTATGGATAAAGAGCCGGGCCGAATCATGACCCACTACCATAGTCCTAGCTACTTGGGAGGCTGAGGCAGGAGGCTTGCTTGATCTCGGGATTTCGAGGCCAGCCTGAGCAACATAGACAGACCCCATGTCAGAAAAGAGAAACAGTCTGAAGCAAAGGTGACCCTTTATGAAAAAAAAAAAAAAAGAAAGAAAAACAAGATACATTTTTTTAACAAAAGAAGAAAAGATGAATTGCATTCCATTCTGTAATAACGATCTGTTTTCATTAGCCCTCCAGATGAGACACAGATCACAAATCATAAACCAGAAAGCCACCTTGATGAAAACATAAAGGACGATATTCCTGAACAGGAAGAAACTGTTACTTCTTGTGAATCAACTCCTGAGGTTTCTCGAGGAAGTCAAATGATGGCAGGTTAGATGATACGCATTTCAATATTTTCTCACTTGGGCTTCCTCTGAGCTGCTAAGTTTGTTTTCCTTGCAGAGATATTTACACAGGGGCCCCGTCCGTGCCTTGACTGCAGACTTGTCACCTTTGCCCACCCATGTGCACCTTCAAGAGGGAAGCAGCTGGACAGGGCAGGAAAGGGCCACCCTGCCAGAGTCTGCTTTGGCTTGGGGATCAGCTCCCTGGTTCGGGTTTGGGATTTTGCTTTTAATTGTAACCCATACAGATAACTTTTTCTAGGGCAGCACAGTGAGTAGGGCACCTGCCCCATATACACCCTGAGGGTGGCGGGTTGGAACCTGGCCCCAGCCAAACTGCAACAAAAAAATAGCCGGGCATTGTGGCGGACGTCTGCAGTCTCAGTTACTCGGGAGGCTGAGGCAAGACAATCGCCTAAGCCCAAGAGCTAAGAGGTTGCTGGGAGCTGTGATGCCACGGCACCTCTACCCAGGGTGATAAAGTGAAACTCTATCTCAAAAAAAAAGAAAAAAAGAAAAAAAACTTTTTCTAGTAAGAAGATCCTTCAGCGCTTGAGAAATTTATCTATTTTCAGGGCTAGATTACTGTAGTATTCCCAAATCTATCACCACTGAGAACTGTTGAAAATTTAATATCTA